TTATAATCGGGTTAAACTGTATATTGTTTGTGCAAAATAAAAAAATAATTTCGGACGATACAATAGCCACGATTATTTTTTTCAAAAACGGGAAATTCTCGTTAGGCATCGACAAAAATTCAACCCGGGCCGACGGGTTGCAACGGAGAGAAATTTCGAAATTGGATAGGTTAATTTCATCAAAAATGCATCGTGGACGATCTCGTAGTCGTGGCCGGCGAAGTTTGAACGATCGCGCCCAAAAGCAGCGATACCAAAGAAGATTGGATAATGAGAACGAGACCCGCCTTGAGCGTCAAAGTGATTCTGCTTAGTATTGTCTCCGAGACATAGTCGTGTCCCAAATACGGTTTTGCCGTTTTACTTGTTTAATTTAACCTTTTTGGTTAATATTTAAATAATATCATATTTTATCAGTTTTACCAGTATTATACAGTTGTCCAACAGAAAAGTAAACTATCTTATTTACATATCTTTTCAAAATAAACAGTTTGACTGGGCCCTAGACATTTGTCTCATTTGTCTATGCGATGATCCGGCCCTGCCTACTATTACAAATAAAATAATTTATTCCCTTGTCACATATGGTCAAAATCTAGGCGACAACATTAACTTTAAATAGACATATTAAGCGAAGCATGCAAAGGAGTGTAACAGGAATGATAAAGATACTTTGTGTTCAAGTAAATATAAGAAATATTGTCACACTTCAGCGAGATACACTATATTACATATTTATATAAAAAGTTTCTCCTGGGAAGCTAATAAATAATGATAAATGTATATTTGAATTAATTTCTGTAATTTATATACAGTACTTGGAATTTGATGGTATTAAAATTTAATTATTTGTAATTATTATTCGATTTGGTATTTTCTAGTAAATTTAACTAGATTTTTTTGTAGTACAGTAATTTATTTTCTGCTAACATTATTTTATCTTCGATGTCAAATATTACTTCAATGAAAATTAATGCAAATGAAATCACGAATATAGAGGCTAAATGACATCGGCTAGTAGCGTCTCGGCCTTAGTCTTAGATTTTAAATTTTTAAATAATTTTTTTTTATTTTGCATTAATTTTGTCTGCATTTTTTAAACCGTTAATTACATTTTTTTTAAAAATTAACTTCAATTCTTTTTATAAGTATAGGAATTGTTTTAGTGTTGTTTCGCACAAAAGATCATCAAATTTAAATTGTTTTAATAATTTAATTTTTGTTTCACAAATCTGCCTGCTTAAAATTTCTTTTTTAAATTTAAATTTTAATTATAAACCAGTTAACATTAATTGAACTATCGGGCTACCTAGCTACTAATAAAAACAATAATTATGAACTCTAGTAAAAATACAGTAATAAATTTTTAAAAATAGTTCTGACCGGAACTGCTTGACACTCAGTGTGGAACAATTCTTATTAGTTCCGATCCGGCAACAATCAAACACCGAACGTCTGTGCTCGTGAAAAATATATTACAAATATTAATACATTTCGAAATGTCAAATAAAAAAAAATACATTATTTTAAACATTTAAAGAATATAAAATAACATCTAAAATGCTAGTAAACATTTATCGATTAATTAATATCGGAAATTATTTCGAAATATCCTACAAATAATTCTATAATAGATCACGAACAGGAAATTCAAATAATAATTATTCGATAATATATTGTAAATGGAAATAAAACATAATTATAAATTTTCATTTTCCTCAATTTCAAATACTCAGATATATAATTACAATAATGGAAAATTTATATTTAGCTTTTATTTTCCTTATAAAAAAAAAAACATCATTTAATCGTAGAGGGCGATTTGTAGTCAAAATCTTATGACAGGCGTCTGTCGTCTGCTAGACTTTGCTCTTTATCAAATAAACACAGATTAGATTTATCGGTGAGATCTTATTACTGTTTTTTCGTCTAAGTTTAAAATTTAATATATTAAAATTCGTCTAGAATATGTCTTGGAAGTTATTTAGGTGAATGAACTTAATCTTCCTTATGTTACAGGAAATCATGTCTGCTAAGTATTATGTATTGAAAGCGGGTAGAATTATATTGGATTTCGTTACAAATTTAATTTTTTCGATTATTTATTCTGGAAAACCTGAAAGAATACGTCCCGTTTCCGATCCTCTTTTATTGGAACCGGCTACTTCACTTGTCAAGAAGATAATTAAGCAGCAGGTAAGAATTAAATACATCTTACTTTTAGATATTTTATACATAGATACAGAGCGCAGATGCACAGATACAGAACATAGATAAATAGAAAATAGCCTGAAGAATTAGATAAAAAATTTATAATCTCAGACATGTTTTTATTGATTTTGTTGCTAAAATTGTATTAAATTATCATAGTGTTACATTACATTAAAGCCGTATGATTTACACATAAAAATCAAATATACAAAAACATAAAAATGTATGCATGTATATAATAAATTTACACTTAACAGTCAATATTAGTAATAATTTAGGTTATACTGTTTATCAGTTATAGAAAGATGATTTTAAAGTTGTTGTTTTATTTGATTTAAATTAATTAATAAAATTTTAAATTTTTTTTTATCTGTTTATTTGTTTTTTGAATGCTTACATATTTTTTAATCTTCATCAATGTTATTTTTGTGATATTTATATATTGTTTTGTGTTTACCTGTTTGTTGTTGTTATTTTTATATTTTAGCAAAGCTATATTTATTGTACGGGAGTAGAAATCTCCTGCCATATCATTATTACTAATAATTAGTGTAATAAATAGATAAATAGTCTATTTATCTTAAAAGTTAGAATAGAATGAAAAAAAATCAAACTGTTTATTGATGAATTACTCATTCTTTTATTTAATTATAATATTTTATGTAAAAATATAAAAAAAATGATTAATGTAGTAAAACAAAACATTTATAAATTAATGTCCTAATGTATTTATTATATTTTAAAAATTTCTATAAAATTATTATTCTGTAAAATTATCTTATTATTCTACATTACATTTTTAGCTTATTTATGCTGACAGATATTATTTTTAATAATACTAGATATACTACATGTCATTTGAGAAAATGTGCAGAGAGTAGTAATAAATTTTATAATTATGCATGTATTTGTCTCATCATGTAACCTCATGTAACCTCATATAACCTCATATAACCAGTATATAGAAACACAGATAACCTGTTATTGTACATTAAATTAAATTTTAACTTCACTAAAAAATATATATTTTAGAAATTTTTATTATTAAACACAATAAATTTTTCTTTAAAAATTTCATCATCTAAAAGATTTCATCAGAAACTTTTCCTGATGAAGTCAATAAATCATAGAATTAATATCTCTGATTCCATGACTGTTATAAGCTGAATACTATTTTTTATATCTACCATAATTTCATTATTGGATAAGAAGTAAAATGAAAGACTATGATAAAGCTACATGAAAAAGATTATTGAGTAAGAAAAATGAAATCTGCTTCAATTAATGTAATGTTTTTAATAAAACATATGATGATTAAGTCACTTTTATTTTATGTTCATGCTAATATTAATAAAATAATTTTTAAAATTGATTATTAAACAAATTTTAAATAATATGTAATGGTCAGTTCTACAAAATCAATTATATAAGTATATAAGTCAGTTGTACAGTTTAGCACAACCATAAATATAGTGAATATTATATCGAATTTAATCTCGTTATTAAAATAATATATTATCAATAATCTAATCTAAAGAATAAATAATTGAATACTAGTAAGAAACCATTTATTTTTTTACAAATATCAGCTTTGTGATTCTTTAGATTAGATAATATTAGATTATTAGCTGATGCAAAATGTTAAATGATTTATAGAAAAAATAAATAGAAAATATAAAACAAATTAGATGCATTTACTAAAAATCTATAAAATATCACAGTTTTAGTATATGATTAAGAAAAGAAACAAATATTGTCAAAAATAATAATTATTATTAAATAGAATTTTCTGGAATTAAGTTTAATGGTAAAAAAACATCCTCATTAAATTTATTGTTGGTTAGGAAATCTCCAAACTTGTTTGCACTGAAAAGAAAAATTAGCAAGTATTTTGTCATCCTTCAAGCAAACCTATTTGTAATAATTACTAGATAATGAATCTTATTTGTGTTAAATAAATTGATTTAATATATTATTCAGGCATTCAGTAATACTGTGATTTAAAAGCATTTTGGAAAGAAAATGTTTTTATATACTGTAGATTATAAGCATTTCAATAACCTTTAAATAGAATGAAAGAAGAATTTCATAAAAAATGTAGCATAATATAACATATTTAAATTCTTTTAAACAATATGTTATAAAAAAGATTATATAATAAGCTTTTTAAAATATAATTAAATGATTTTATTTAAAAGTTGTATTATTTGTTTATTTGTTAACATCTTATTAATTTAAAATTCAGCAAAATTTATACACTAATATTTTTTGATGCATTCTACGTCCTTTGGGTCATTATAAATCAAATTCTAGTATCTGAAGATTTGATAATGGACATTTGAGGACTTTAGGTTCTATAATGTGTTCTGTAAAGACCTGAAAATGAACATTTATCATATCTAAAAACATTAATCTATATTATCAATAAATTTTGCTGGAATTTAAGATGTAATAATTATTTTGTTAACAGAATCCAGTTGAAAGTTTAAAGATAATTCAGTTTGTTTACAAAATCAAATTATCTAAAGTTTATAGAAATTGCATATATCTAAAAAGATGGAAGACTTTATATTGGGGTACTGCAGCTGTACAGAAATTGTATAATTTAATTTAAAGTGGATTCTGTCAAGAATAAATATTATATGATGAATGCAATATTTTTGTATTGTCTGAGCCCTATTGCAGTTATTGTCAATGAGTAATTTAAAGAAAGATTATATTATGTTTTCATTATTGTATAACTTTTTTGTGTTCTAAAGTTCTTTTTCTTAGAGATCTTGTTAGAAATTAATCTGTAAAGAATGTAGCAAAGGTGATTATCACATTGATATTACATTTTTAAGCTAGCTTAGGTAACTGATAATTGGGATTCATATTTTTTTTTTAAACTGAATTTTTATTTGGCTAGGTAGCATGATGGGTGTAACATAGAAGTATCAAATATAAGATAAGCAGTTGTTAAACCACTTTCAAAGTACATAAAATTGCATAATTTGGTATTATTGCCTAATTTTGGTATTGTTGTTTTTTAATTACTAATTTTAATCTTTCAGGGGGTAACCCATAGCAAATTTCAGCATAACTTTGATAATGTCTTGTTTAAGATATGTACATAAGTGGTGCGAAAGTGGACTCAGTATTCCTATTTATAATATATGTCATCACCTATGTGGTAAATGGTTATTGTGTTCCTGACCATTTGGTAATTTTTGAGATTTGAAATAGGTGATATTGTTCTACGGTGTATTTGCTGCTATGCACCTTGTGATGTAAATATAATTTGCATTTAATTTTTATTTATTTGAAATGTTTTTGAAAGAGAAGCTTATTTTTTGCATATCTGTTGCATAAATATCTTTATTTAATAATGTCTTAGGTTTCAATAAATTCATAAGCTTCTATTACTTTGAAAATATACTGAAAAACTTTTGGAAAGCTTAGATTTTTGGGATGTTTCTAGCTTTTATACAGCATTGATCCAGAAGTAGTTGAATGAAACTTTAGTACAAGCTATGAGAAAATTGATAGGAAAAAAGAGAACACTGAAACTGAGTCAGAAGAGTGGGAGATTTTAGAAGATAATCAGGACAGTGACTCCAAATAATCAGCTGATTACATAGATGACTTCTTTGTAGAAGACAAGAATAATAGAACAAAATTGATTAGTCAACAATGTGGTAAAAATGTCTGCAATAAACACAATCTTATGATCACTATATATGCCAATTGTGAAGGTGAGCAATATATGGAAGTGAAGTGACCTATTTTTATATATTTAGATGCATTATAATTGCATTTATTCATTAAAAAGCTTTGATATTAATTCTCTCTTTTATTTTATTCATATTTTAAAAAACAGTTACATAATATTAGCCTACTTCATATCCTCTAATATTTGTGGTGTAACAGCCACAATATGCTTTCTCATGAAACTCTAAAAGTTAAGCCCACTGAAGGGTAAATGTGTTTTAATTTTTTTTTCCATTTATTTACAGTATTTCAAGCTTGTATTTTATTTCTGATCTGTCAAATTATTTCTAATGAATTTTGTTGAATTTTCCACTAATTTATACTGTATGCAAGTTGAAAGTATACATTTTAACTAAGACTTTTATTGCTGGAGAATTTCAACTGTAAATATTTCAAACTTGAATTTCAAACTAAACTGTTTCAAAACTTTAAATTTCACATTGTGATTGATTAAAATAAATTCTGTTGGTCTTTATAGCCCAAACCTGGATACCACATGACCCAATGCATATTCAAACTTAATCATTTGCATTTCTCAGTTATCTCTACTAGTTCTGGCTATGCACATCCTTTGTTAGAATTTCACTTTTGAGGAATGTAAGAATGAGCTGCTGTAAAAGCGTATAATTTTAAAAATTTTAATTAAATACAATGGTTTGCAAAAATGAACTGTGCAACTACTTTGTAACACTTGTAAATATTCCATCACTACCGTGGTTCTTTGAATTAAGTTCTGTTCAGTTTGTCATGGATCACTGTGCTGTTAATTCCACATTGTGTTTAAAATGTTTTAGTATATTTGGAAGTGGTTTACATTTCATTAACTGTAAATAGATATAAATGAGCAGAAATTATTGTGATGTCGTCACAATGCCAAGTTGCAATTTTAATTTATTTAATTTAAAATATATGACTTGGATCTCAAATTAGTAGTGTCTTGTCCCTGTACATCATACTTTTCCAGATAACAACAGAGTCATGCTAGTCAGCTATGTAACTCCTTTCCAGAGAAAATTTTTGAATTGAAATCACATGACTTCCAATCTATACCAGAAGTTCGTATATAGGTAATCGGGGCCTTCTACCCTGATACTTTCCACATCTAGTCTCAACATTCATTTATCTAACACTGTTCTCAAGATTAAGAAAAGACAGACAGTGGGAATTTATAAGTCTACGAGTTTTTCAAATTGCAGCCCAATATTCAAACTTACCTATATTTTCAACTTACAAACAAGTTTCATTCATAAGTCTGTCTTTAACTTGAGAACTGCCTGTACATTCAAATATATGGGATTTTTCTTTTTATTTAAAGGATGATCAAAGACAAAATTATAAATTTTGACACTATTATATTTAACAGAGAGAAACATTACTATATTTAAAATTACCAATAAAAATATGTAGTGTTTTCAATCTAATTTTCAGCCATCATCAGCATAGAATATAAGTTTGAATGGAATAGAACAGTTTTTTTTTATAAATTTAAGATGATTGAGAAAATTAAAATTTATAGTAAATGAGGCTAGTGTCCTTTAAATAAATTTTTTTAAATTACAATATTATCAATTGTGAGTTTGAATGTTTTAAACTTATTTATCAAATAAAACAATTATTATATAATTTAAATAATAATTTATTTGTATTTGTAGTTAGCAGCAATTATTTTANTCAATTTTTGTTTTTATATAAAAATAGATGTATTTTCTGTTATTTACATGTTATCAAAATAACTGGCACTTACTTATACAGTGGTGCCTCGTATAACATATGCCTTGAATAATGGACGCTGCGAACAATGAACTTTCTGTTGCCGTTACATGACTCGAGCAATGGACTGGCTGCGGACAACGGACTTTCCGTTCGGCAGTTACGTGAGGCAAACAACAAACTTTCTGCGAACAAGTACGAATGATATTTTCACTCTGTTGCTGTTGCCAATGACAATCTGCTATTTTTATAATATATTAGTGTTATTAGAATATATTATTAGTATATCTGAAGTACAGAGCTCCCGCTGGGATTCGGCTTGCTCCCTTGTTTATTACGTACATCACCTCAGTGCAGGGTATTTACATTTATTCAAGTGTTGTGCAAATCATGGCTTCTAAAATAACAGAAAGGTGATTTCAATTGAAACAATGCAAGAAATCATCAGAAGGAGTGAAAGTCGACAACAACTTCCTTGTCGAATGGGAGAGGTTTAGGAGTTTACCAACACTCATTATTAGGGTTGCCACCTCATAACTTAGTCTCGCCCAGAGATGATGATTTAAGAAACCAAAAAAAAAACCATATGCATACATATACAGTTTTTTTATTATATAGTAATTTGGTACATGGAAGAAATATACACAACAGTTTGCATATAATTTTTGTACATATTCATTTCAACTTGCACAACCCAGAGAAATATTAATTAACCCCAGAGCCCAGAGTTAACTCACTGAATCCCGGAGTCTCCAGGTCAAACCCGGACAGGTGGCAACCCTACTCATTATCCAAACAGAGCTAAGACTAACAGAATCAATGATCTCTACAATGACACCCTTGCCCATCATTTCCGACAGGTGTTGAAGAAGAGAGAGAAACAGACCACCTTGGACATGTTTTTCAAGAAGCCAGCAGGCAAAAAACAAAGGATGGAACAAGAGGAGTTGACCCTGCAAGCTCTGGTAGCCTCTCCTGAATCTGACTCCGATTAAAAAACAATAAAAAGAGACCTGCTGCAATGTGTAAAAAGTCTGTATCTGTATGAATGTGTGAAGAAAGTGTTGCTCCACTTCTTCCTCACAACATTTGACTATCCGGCATAATTGGTGACTGCTCCATTTTCATTTTTTTAATGGTACAGTACGGTTATTTTATGCTGCGGAACGAATTATATGTTTTAACATGTATTTCTATGGGAAAAAGCATTTCGTATAACGGACTTTTCACTTAACGGACATGCACCTGGAACAGATTAAGTTCGTTATACGAGGCACCACTGCACTTGGTGTAAATATTCATTTACATAGCTAGCAGAAAATAATATTTATTAAGTAGCAATGAGGATTCAAACCTATTTCTTATAACAAATTTAATCAAATTTATAATCAAAATATGAAGTGTTATACAATTACTAATATTTTCCATTTTAACTTATTTCTAAATTTATTGTTTTTAATGATTGAAGTTTATATATAATATATTAAACTTATTTTAAATCTATGTTGAGGTAAATAATATAATTTTTTATATTAATTTTTAAACAATTAAACAGTATTGTTGCTTTTCAAAAGTTTTAGAATTAATTTTTATAAACTATTTTGTATTGCTGCATTTTATTTCTTACCAATATAGTATCATTGATTTAAAAAAATGCTATAAATATATTTTGTAATGGTTAAAAAATGTCAATTAAGATAGAATTTTATTGTTGAAAACTTATTTCACATAGAAATTTGTGTCTCATATCATAGATAATTGATGCTTCATAATTATTTAAGTTAGTTAATTATAGTTTAGTTTAATACAGTCACAGATCCAGACGTTTGTCACGGTAGGCAATAAAAAAAAGGTCACTGCCTCGACAGTTGGGGCACATTTAATAATATAAACCAAAACATATATATCCAAATAGCCCAATAGGCTAAAAGTATATGCGATATATTAATGCAAGCATCTAATCTTACATGACATAGTGTGCTCGGGAGATTAATCAGTGCTTCTGATTTATTTTTTTGTATTGAATAATGAAAAAAATCAAGAAACAGCACACTGGGTACAATCTAATTCATCCAATACAAGTGAGCCATAGATGAGTTTGACAGTTTTAAGTTTTAATGTCTAAACACTGAGTTTTTGGGTTATTAGAATATTGGAATCTTTGGAGGGCAATCGCCACATCTTCCCCTTGAATCTGCACCTGGTTTAATAAAGGTATTCTACCACCTTACAAAATCAATTTATTCAATCATCTTTTTAGAAAAGATATTTATGGGATTCTGTTTATGGGAAAAGATTCCTTAAATATTGGATTTATATAGAAGAAATTCTCATTAGTTTGAAATTCAAAGGACAAAATAATCACAACTTCAAATTATCAAGTTTCAAATTATCAGAGATTTACATATTTCTGTATAATATGGCAAATGCTCTGTAACTGATAATTAATAATAACAATATAAATAAACTACAGGTAAACAGCATGTGTCTGGTAAGAACCTCACAGGTCGCCAGATAGGTTCTACAAAAAGTAAAGAATTTCTCAAAATGTAGCCAAATTATTTTTAAAGTGGCTCAAAAAGTAGTAAGTCACCCAAATGTAATAGAGTCCTACAAATATCTCAATCTGCTACTGATAGCCCAAACTTGCAGTCACGAAACCCAGCTGTATTTTATGAGATAAGAGAGTAAAGGGTAGTTTATGGGTTAGGTGATACCTGAAAATGTGTTACTTTACAGGCAAAGCCATATTGACCAGATTAGAGTTGTTCTTTGTCTATTGTTCTCTTATGATATGGAGTTACTTCAATCTAAACAAACGCGATAACATATGCTTTCACAGTTCGGACAAAATTTTTACTTCAAATTTCAAAGTAGTCTTATTTTGAACTAACTGAATTCCTTAACGTGTAAATCTCTATATTTATGACCAGGACAAATAGTACAGTTACACACTAATGGGCTTTCAAACTATCTGAGTTCAAATTAACAAGGATTTCCTGGATGCTGAAAATTACTTTACTACAGGATGATTCAAAAGTCACAGAAATTTTTAAAAATTAATAACTCACAAACTATTTACAGTTAGATGATGCAGTTTCCACAGAATGCTTAGAAAGAAGCAGGATTTTTTTAGGTGTAATAAAAATTTTAGTACAAAAGTAGTTACATTTTTTACCATAGATGGTGCTGTAAAAACTGAAAGTATTTGTAAATTTGTTAAAGTAAGAATAAAAAAGTAAAAAGTTCTTAGTGCAAGCCTTAGTAACAACTTCACAAATCATGCAATCTTATCAAGCACCATCTATGGCAAAAAATGTAACTATTTCAGTACTAAAATTTTTCTTACACCTAAAAAAATCCTATTTCTTTCTAAGCATTTCTGTGAAAACTGCATCATCTTACTGTAAATAGTTTGCAAGTTATTAATTTTTTTAAATTTCTGTGACTTTTGAATCACCCTGTACATTGAAGTGTAAAGAAATTAGTGTAACAACTGGTACTAATATATTTTTTGATAAAATGATCATTTAGCTTGTAGTATCTTAATCAATGAAGCAAATCATAGATATCATTAATAGAAAAAATTTATAAATATACTAATATGGAAATTTGATTATTTTATATTATTTCAGTATTCAGAAAATTGATTTAAAACAATTTGTCATTCTTCATTCATATGATTAAAATAAATTATTTTTTAGATGAAATGTGTAGATGTTGTGGAAGCATATATTTCAAGAATCAAGGAAATTCAACCCATTATTAATGCAGTTTCAGAAGACAGGTTTGAAGATGCCCTGAAAGATGCACAAAGTGTAGACAATCTTATTACCTCACGTAAATATTCAGAAGAAGAATTAGAAAAAAGATATCCTTTCTTAGGAATCCCATTCACAATTAAGGAAAATATTGGTGTTAAAGGTAATTCTAATTTATTTTCAATATTTTCCACAATAAAATAGAATGAAATGCAACATTCAGATATACAGTGGAACCTCGGTATACGACCTTAATCAGTTCCTGATGTTTGGACTTATACCGAATAGGACGTATACCAAACCAACCTTTCCCATAAGAAATGTAAAAATGATTAATCCGTTCTCATGTAAAAAAAAAGAAAAAATGGCTGGCTTTTTGCACCTCGCTTTCCTGGCTAGTTCCTGCTTGATTTTTCACGAGATCAGCATGTATCTTTTTAGCTTTCTCGCAAATAATTGCTTCTGATACACTGTCTCTAGCACACTGTTTTCCAGTTATCCAAAGCAAACGCAATTTCTCAACATGATCTAATGTCTTCGATCTCTGTTTAGAAATTGATTTAACTCCTTTCCCGACATTAGCAAATTTAATAATGTCTTTATTTTTCACGATTGTCGATATCGTCGTTCTCGGAATATGGTACGCAACAGTTAAATCTCGAACACGCATGTCACCTTCATATTTCTCAACAATCTCTTTTTTCAGTTTCATTGTAATTCTAGTCAATTTTTTTTTTTTTTTTTTAGTTTTCTGTTGCTTTTCATTTGCCTTTTTGCAATTCATGATTAATAAAAATAATAAAATTTTACTTACAAATTAAAATCAGAAGAAATTTAACAAAGTAATAAACCATGGCACCGCAAACGTCTAGTCTGGTCTAATANAATATACTAATATGGAAATTTGATTATTTTATATTATTTCAGTATTCAGAAAATTGATTTAAAACAATTTGTCATTCTTCATTCATATGATTAAAATAAATTATTTTTTAGATGAAATGTGTAGATGTTGTGGAAGCATATATTTCAAGAATCAAGGAAATTCAACCCATTATTAATGCAGTTTCAGAAGACAGGTTTGAAGATGCCCTGAAAGATGCACAAAGTGTAGACAATCTTATTACCTCACGTAAATATTCAGAAGAAGAATTAGAAAAAAGATATCCTTTCTTAGGAATCCCATTCACAATTAAGGAAAATATTGGTGTTAAAGGTAATTCTAATTTATTTTCAATATTTTCCACAATAAAATAGAATGAAATGCAACATTCAGATATACAGTGTAACCTCGGTATACGACCTTAATCAGTTCCTGATGTTTGGACTTATACCGAATAGGACGTATACCAAACCAACCTTTCCCATAAGAAGAAATGTAAAAATGATTAATCCGTTCTCATGTAAAAAAAAAGAAAAAATGGCTGGCTTTTTGCACCTCGCTTTCCTGGCTAGTTCCTGCTTGATTTTTCACAAGATCAGCATGTATCTTTTTAGCTTTCTCGCAAATAATTGCTTCTGATACACTGTCTCTAGCACACTGTTTTCCAGTTATCCAAAGCAAACGCAATTTCTCAACATGATCTAATGTCTTCGATCTCTGTTTAGAAATTGATTTAACTCCTTTCCCGACATTAGCAAATTTAATAATGTCTTTATTTTTCACGATTGTCGATATCGTCGTTCTCGGAATACGGTACGCAACAGTTAAATCTCGAACACGCATGTCACCTTCATATTTCTCAANTACCTTCTAAAATAAGTAAATTGAATAATGTTGGAATCATAAGATTGCCAAATACATGTATAGGATACTTACCTGGAATTATCCTTACTTCACATTTTCACATGAGATCAACTGTTCACACAAGAAGCAGTCCTAAGTTTATTATACCTCCAATTCGAAACAATATTTTCCAAGATAGAATTAGAGAAATTACAAGAGAGTATAAATACTACACAGAATTCTGAGGCGAATAAAGAGAATTCTAAGAAACAAAAAGATGATGATATTAAGGTAGCAGAAAAATCATATGAGCAAATGAAGAAAGATTTGGACAGATTATTAAAAGAAAATGAAGATCTTTTTATATCAAACACTCCAACAATTCCAATCACATACATATGGATTATCCTTGGAAGTATAGGAATATTAATTCTACTTATCTGTATATATTATATAGTCAAGCATATTTGTGGGAAACGAAGATTTGAGAAGAGGATCAAGGAACTGTCACAACAGGACATTCCACTTCAAGAAATTCCCCAAAGAAATAATGCAGAAGAAGAAGAAACGAAAATAGTCGAACCTGTTGGAAGATCAACTGAACAAGCTTCAAACTCAGCACAGACAAGGAAGCACTTTGTTCGCACACCTCGATTTTAATCCCTACTTGATTTTCTTTGAATGATTATTTCATTTGATTGAACTCTTATTTGATTTATTGATAGTCAATTTTTGTTCATATATATCTTTAGTTTGTAAGTACCTTTCCTAATAATAACAAAAAGCTTATTTAAGGGAATGTACACCCCACTCAAATTGATAAATTAAAGTGATAGATTAGAATAGACATAATATTATATAGAATAGTCTAGATTAAGACTTAGAGTAGTATTAAGAGAGAGAGAGACTTTATTAGAGATATGTATTTGTTAAACATACTGCCTTTAAAGTGAAATTACGTTGGTGAAAGTGACCTTTGCCCAAAATGGATTTAAAAGACCTTGGAGTCATAAAACATTTAATGAACTCAACCACCTGAACTTTTGTGGTTATGCTGAAGTAAAGTAGGAAGAAAAAGAAGTGTGTCAACATACAGGAAGAAGACACATTATATCATTTTGAACTGCACAGTGAACTTTGAACTTTTAGCAGGTGCTTTTTGAAACAAGAAGACATCACCTGATCTTCTAATATACCTGAATTGGTGCAACTATAAGAAGTCAGCCAACAGAGGTGCTGCCATAGAGACTCTCAGCAACAGAGAGGTGCATTCGAAATCAGTGACAGAACTATGTCCACTTTTACCGTCGATTCCAGACGAAGACACATATGTTCATTGTGTTTATTTTAGTAATATTATTAATCTGATGAATTGTTTACTATATTATTTCCATGTGTTTCAATTTTGAATTTATTGTATACTTTTATGATTTTATTATTATGTATAACACAATTTTCAGAGAGAGAGAGAGAAATTCGAACTTATGTATTGCAGTGAAAAATCATGCCTTCTTTAAATGTAGTGTGATTTTTGAAGATAAGGGAGTAATGTGAGATCCGAAAGGCCCCTAGGCCTCATTTAATAATTTTTATTAAATATGCTTAAATATTCACAAAATAATACTTCGTTTTTGGTGAAAAATTGGTGTTTTAGTCGTGGGAAAAGATAGATAACAGATGCTACTTCCGTTGAAGGAAGTCCGTACATCCTCTGTTTTTCCCTATCCGTTAAAAATCTCGCTCAAATGGGAAATGGCTACCCCTCATTCGTCCCCCTTTTCGTCGGTTCTCACGAAGAGCTACTGGACGATGATTGGACAAAAATTTGGAAATAAAAGGAGAGATTTAGTCAGAATTCGGGGAGTTCTTCGACAGATCCGAAGCATACAAACTCCACATACGTTCCCTCCCGATGGCCAACGCCCGTAACGGAGTCCGATAGACGAAGTCCCGAGTCTACACTTAGAAGAAGTGATATTTTTATATTTTGTGCACGAATTGATTTCCCATACGAAAGCAATATGAACCCTATCTACAAGGTGTCCTCTACCTATACAGAAACGAAGACGACAACTAACAGGTCGTATGTTTAGAATAATTTTGTGAGCTCTCTCTCTCGAACGCGCATTAGCATAGATTCAGTNAAAAAAAAAAAACATTAAAATGGAAGATAAGAAGGTGCATTTTCGACATCTGATGCTCTATTATTTCCGAAAAGGAAAAAATGCAACAAAAACTCAAAAAAAGATATGTGCTGTATATGGGGAGGATGCAGTTACTGATCAAACATGCCAGAAATGGTTTTCAAAATTCAGGGAGGAAGATTTTTCTCTCAATGATGCACCTCAGTCAGGACAACCTTCAATCATAGAAGATGAGTCCATAACAGCTTTAATTCAAAATGATCAGCATAAAACAACACGCGAGATAGCCGACATCTTAAAAATATCCCAAACATCTGTTATCAGACATTTGGCTAGCCTTGGATACACTTCCCGTTATGATGTTTGGGTTCCCCATAAGTTAAGTGAACGAAACCTTATTGAGCGTGTTTCTGTATGTGATTCACTTTTAAAACGCAATGAAGATGACCCCTTTTTAAAGCGATTAATAACAGGTGATGAAATATTCAATGCAAGAGATCTTGGAATAAGCCAAGTGATCCTCCAGTGCCACAACCTGTAGCTGGTTTGCATCCCAGAAAAGTAATGATTTCAGTTTGATGGGACTGGAAAGGGGTTCTTTATTACGAGCTTTTACCCAACAACCAAACAATTAATTCCAATAAATATTGTCTCCAACTGGATTAACTTAAGGCTTGCAAGTGCATCAAAAACGTCCAGAATTTGCAAATCGACGGGGAGTGGTATTCCATCATGATAATGCAAGACCGCACACATCGTTAAACGTGCGCCAAAAACTTCTAGACTAAAANATAAAAAAATAGTGTTGGACTGAATATTCTGCATTATTCGATATTCAGGATTATTTGGCTGCAAAGTAAATATCTGGTTTTTGGTCAAATACTAAATATCTATATTTGATATTTGGACCAAATATGTTTTCAAAAACAAACTATTTGATCAACTAATCTTATTTTAATTGAGAGAGAGAAAGAGAGAGAGAAGGATGGAAAGAAATATGGAACAAAAAAGAAAGAAAAGAAAATTTTAAAATATTGTTTTTTCATACATTCATTAAAACTGTACTTGTTGGAGTTGCTAAAAAAATGACACATCTCACTGGTAAGATAAGAGAATGTTTCCTTTCCTTATTTTGCCGCCGTTAAGTCAACTGAATTTCAGTGTGTTGAATGATCAGATATGAAATGTACTTTTCTACTTTCTTTTTAATGACATGAATTAAGCTCACTTCATTAGACAGTGAATACTCACTTTGACTACATGTGTTGTCTTATGAGATTTGGGGCTAAATAC